TATTTGTTTTCTATAGGTTTTTAATAGGGTCTTACTATGTAGCTCAAATTGGCCTTAACCTCACAATCCTTTTGCCTCAGCTCCCAAGTGTCAGGATTATATATGTGTGCCACTATGCCCAGGGAATGTCTTATTCATTTATTTATGTTATTAGTTGAATAGATGTTGTTATACATTCTTAATTTATTCAATAAGTTATATTCTAGTTCTTATTCAGTAACTCATATTGTACAACATTTGGCAGTAGGCAGTAGGAACCATTTCAAATTAGCTTTTGGGTCCTTTGACATCATCACCCCAAAATCTTGAGGGAGCCCTTACTTCCCAATCTAGCACCAGAATCACTCATTTTTCTAACACACTCTAGCTTACCTTAGGGAAGAACAGCACTTAGAACCTAAAGACAAGAGATTGGTGTTTGAATTCTGAAAAAAGAAAAGAAAAACTAGTCCTCCTAGGAGCAAAGTTTGTAAGAGAGGTACACAAAGCAGGAATGCAGGAACACACCTGTTGGCCCAGCACTCTGGGAGACTGAGGCAGGGGAGCACAAGTTCAGACCCAGCTTGCACAAGAGTGCAAGTCCCTGTGTCATAATAAAAAAAAAAAATAAGATGGGGGGCCAGGGAGATAGCTCAGTAGAATAAGTGCTTGCCTGGCAAGCGCAAGGGCCTGAGTTCAATCCCCAGTATGGCAAAAAAAAAAAAAAAAAAAGACAGGGCTGGAAATGGTGCTCAGTGCTAAGGCTCGGGGGGCATGAGAGGAGACTAAAAAACTACTAAAAACTGAAAATTAACTGAGTCTTAAAAAGTGTAAGTTAACTGAGAGCATCTATCTAGATTTAACAGGATGTAAAAGATATTCTTCAGGGCCGGGAGATGGCTCGTAGAGTAAGCGCTTCCCTGGCAAGCACAAGGGCCTGAGTTCAATTCCCGGTTCCGCCAAAAAAAAAAAAAAAATTCTTCAGATCCCTTAGAAGGTTATTAGTGTTTTGTTTGCACCCAAGTTGGTTGGTTCAGGTTAAAAGTTTTCTTTTGTGTTATTAATATAAGTAAAATATCAAGAGCATTGTGTATAAAGAAGTAAAATAAAAGGGCCAGCGAGATAGCTCAGCTTAGGACTAAAAAGCACCTGTTTAGGCAAGCGCAGAGACCGGGGTTCCATCCCCAGCACCACATGCTGCACCAGCCCTGCTCCCAAGCCACTGAGACCAGGCATAGTGGTGCACACCTGCAATCCCTGTACTGGAGAGGCTGAGTCCAAGCTCTGGAATGAGGCCCTATGCCACATACGTAAAAATAAGTAAGTAAAATAAAGAACACAGAAAACAAAAAGTCTATGTCTAATCCTGATATAATGAGTTTAAACTACACTTAGCAGGGCTGGGTATGTGGCCCAGTGGCAGAGCACTTGCCTAGCATGTGCAAGGACCTAGGTTTGATTCCCTGGTACTGAAAAGAGAAAAACAAAATGCACTTACTACAGGCTAACCCTGCCCCCACCCAACAAGCCAACAAGTAACCTGGCTGACATGAAAAGTTCATCTGCCAAGTTACACAGGGGAGATAAAGATTCAAGAGCATCTTCTTTCCAACCTGAAGTATTTTTAAATGCTTGAAGCTTTCTATATATAAAAACAACTACGAAAGTAAAAATCTAAGGTACAAATTTAGCAATTAAGATAAGGCCAACTGCCGGGGAGACAGCTCAGCAGCATGAGTACCTGCCGGGCAAGTGCAAGGTCCTGAGTTTGATCCCTGGTACCAAAAAAAAAAAAAAAGATAAGGCAAATTAATGAAGGAATATGAAAAAGTGAATATGATTCCCAGCTGCCAGATATGTAGGCCAAAACCAAAACCTCCCCAGACAACTGGGCACGGTGGTACACACCTGTAACACCAGCTATTTGGAAGATCATAGTTTGAGGCCAACCTGAATTATTTAGCAACACTTTATTTAAAAATAAAATCGAAGAAGGCCTGGGGATATAAATCAGAAGTAGAGGGGCCGGGGAGATGGCTCAGTAGGATAAGCGCTTGACTGGCAAACGCAAGAATCTGAGTTCAATCCCCGGTTCCGCAAAAAAAAAAAAAAAAAAAGAAGTAGATCACTTGCCTAACATGTACAAGGTCCTCGGTTCAGTCCTAAGTCACACACACATAGAGGCACACACACACACCCCTCCCCAGAAAACAGAATCAAAGCACTCCCACAGATAACTTTCCATGCCTCAAAGGTCACCCGCCTTTTTAGATACAAAAGTATTTTCAAAAGAAAAAGGTTAAAAATATTTTTTCTTTTTCTTTCTCTCTTTTACTGGGGATTGAATTCAGGTCCTTGCACTTGCCAGGGAAGCGCTTATTCCACTGAGCCATCGCCCCAGTCCCTAAAACTATTTTCAAAAGATAAAGGTTAAAAAGTATTCTGTATACAAGTTTTTACAATGAAAATTACAGGCCTTGGCCTGGATTATGAAGCTTCTTTTCATAATAAAATCCATACTACACAGAGGCTTTTAGGTCACTGAGGGAGTCATGAAAAATACATGACTATACACATGTATTTAGTACTTTTAGTACATGTATTTAGTACTATGTATTTAGTACTATTTAGTACATTTAGTACTTTTAGTACATGTATTTAGTACTTTTTACATATGAACTAGTTTTCTAAGGTACATACATACTTGAGGTAAAGAGGTAAAATGGAGAAAACTTGAACCGGGAGTTAGGGGACCTAAACTCTAACCCACCAATTCATTATATATCCTTGGGTAAACTAGTAAAACTTCATGGCTTTTCAGTGTTGCTTGTGCATTGGGGCAATTAAAGCGGATGGGTTTATAATTTTTTTTTTACTATTTTATCTGCTATAATAAATATATACCATTTCATAGCATAGCACAAATTTGTAAGGCTAATGGAGATGTGTCTACAGCAGGAAACAGAATTTAAACTATACAGGTATGGGTGGCTGTGATCAATGGCTTTGAACTTTTTATAAGCAGAGATTATTCCAACAGAAAGACCACTGCATTTTAAAATGCTAACACTTCTTGGAGATTATTGTTTGTTGGTGTTGGGCTCCACCCTATGCACACCAGCTCATTCAGTCCCACTGCGTGGCTCTGACAGGTATTACCCTCCCTCAGCACAGACAGGCCTCAGGGAGATTAGCCTGCCCAAGGTCAGGCAGCTACCTCACAGCAAAGCTGGGACTCAAACCAGGAGTGAGTCCAAAGCTATTCCTTTATCTACTCTACTACACCAACTTCTAATAAAGCCTGAGCCATGCAGAAAATAACTCCAAATTGATCATGTGACCAAAAAGATTAAAGGTGTATTTCTTTTTATTGTTATGAGACAGGGTCTCACTATGTTACCTAGCCCAGCCTTGAACCTCTGAGGCCAAGTGACCTTTCTGCTTCAGCCTCCCAAGTAGGTGGCCTGTGCCACTGTGACCAGCTAAATGTATTTCCTAAAGAGATGTCTGTATTTTTGTTACAGGCAACATCTCCTTTTAATAAAAGAAAAGACAGTAGCAATAGCCACTATGCCTGGAAGAATCTTAAGGGCAGTACTACTGTTGTGGAAAAATTCAGCTAGATAAACACAAGAGACCAAAAATGGGATCAAACAAGGCTTTTATTGCTGGCAGGACAACAACCTGATGCAAAATCAGAGAATGTTGACAGCCAGATAACTCTAGTGGGTTTTTATATACTTACAAGTAACCGAAATAACCACATTACCTCATTTTAGAATTTTACAAAAGGGGCTGGGGAGATGGCTCAGTGGAATAAGTGCTTCCCTGGCAAGCGCAAGGGTCTGAGTTCAATCCCCAGTTCCGCCAAAAATATAACAAAACAAAAATAAATAAATAAAATAAAGAACTAAATACAGGAAGGAATGAAGAGCAAAGAAAGTAGTGAAGTACTTGGGCAACATGAGTATGGGGAAAAGAATCATAAAAAATCTGCTAAAGAATTTTACAAAAAACGTTACAAGGTTTGTATTTCCCAGGGGTTTGTTAATACGGCTAAATTTTAGCTTACTTAATGTGTTTGTTCCTTAGTGAGCATTGGGCTTTTTTGTGTGGATTTAATGGTTTACTAAAAGGGAAGGGGGTGAGGAGTGAATTCACCTAAAGTTTAAGCGACTTCTAAAATGGAGTTAAGAAGAAAATGGAGTCTCTTGCCATATTGTTATTATTCATCCTCCTATCTTTAGCAGGCCAAACTACCCTGAGGTGGCATTTGGGCTACAAGAAATATGGCTCTGAAAAGACAGCTCCTCCCAGTCTGTCACCATCTTCAATGTACCTTGTAATTCCTAAGTAGCAACTTGAGGTTCAGAGATGGGGTGCTAACACAGATTCTCCTCTTGCTTCACATCAAGCCACTTGGATGGCAGGATGCCCATCGTGTCACTGACTACGCTCCTATGGCTATGCAGCATATAAGGAAGCAGGATGAACAAGGCCATCTACATACAAATCCATGTACTAAAAAGATACCTAATGAGTTACTTTCATGCCCCTAGGGGCACAGTGACCCTTTTCCTATCTGTTCTCCATACATTTCCCTATGACACAACTTGTCTTTCAGAAAGAAAGCCTCTCAGAGGACTCTCAAGCCTAGAAGTAGACACTTCTATCAGCTGCAGACAGTGAGGGCATCATACAAAGGGGACAAATAGAGACCCAAATACAAAACCACCAAAGATACAGTCACCCAGACAGGAATAGATTTTATAAAGTAGATATTTCAACTGTCTTTATTCCCCCGGTAGAATAAACAAGCTTCTCTAAAACACAATGACCTCCAATTAAAGACAGAATTACTCATATAATGTGTAGCCCCCAAGTTTAATTTTGGTTTCAAATCTGGGCTGGTGTTCCTTAAAAAAAGCTTATAAAAATAGAAAGCTGTGCCTACCATGTACACTGTGGATCTACTCTGTATCTCATTCAGCTGGAAAGAAAAAAGAGCAATAGAAAATTACCCTTCTTGGATCCAACCCTGGAGGAAGCACTGAAGAATTTCTTCACAGTGGTAACCTTTCGTGTCTTCTCATTGGTTTTCTTTTCTTCAAACTTGGAAAATGTGAGTGACTGGGCCCCTTGGCTATTCTGACTGCTGGCAAAGGCCTCCTCCTCCTCCCGCTGAAGCCTGAAATTGAAGAGAGGATTATAAATGATCTAGATAGCATCCAGGTCCCCCTTGTATCAAAAGGCTACTACTCACTTAATTCGGGATGATCTAAAAATTTTATGACTAGAGGCTACAAGCAACAAATAAATCTGAGGTCACTGATAGAAGGCAACAGTATGTATGCTTCTATAGGCTTCAGATGGGAACGTCTCCATGGGTTACGAGCCTCAGGAACTGTGTTAGGGTTGTATGAAACAGCCTAGTCCAGTAGTGATAAACCTGCAGCATGCGTGCCACAGCCAGCTGTTTGTTATCACTGAAAGCTTTAAAAAGTTCTCCATCACTATCCTTTTCTCTAGTAAGTTCAAGTTGAAATGGAGAGATAAACAAATAATTATAGTTTAATAAGTTGATTCACCTAGAATAGAGCAGAAAACAAATGCTATGAGAACACAGGACCGAACAACTTAACTGTCACAGGAGCTGGAGGATTTTATAATGGTGACACCTGGGCTGAGGGAAGAAACAGGATGCTATAAGTGAAAGGAGAAGAAACGCCAGGTGTAAAAGTGTGTACTGTGCCTCACAGCAAGCAAGCTGGGCAGAGGGTTGAGCACATGAGGGGCTGTGACGCTGGGTGCACGGGAAAGTGCCAGAGGGGAAGGAGCCCTGGCTGCAAAGCCCACTATTATTCTAGATTTCATTATTTCACAAGAAACCGAGGGAGTTTATAGGGCCAAGGAGCTAGCATATCAGGTCTGTGCCTCAGAAAAATAATGCGAGCAGCTGTGTGAACAACTGAGGGAGGTGAGACTCAGGACAGAAAAAAGCAATTAAGGGCTGGAGAGAGAGTCTTAAGCGTCTGACTGGCAAGTGCAAGGACCCAGGTTTGATCCCTGGTACCACATGCAGCACCGGCCCTGGAACCCTGGGCAAGCTGTGCCCACCACTGAAATTGGGTGTGATGGGGCTGGGGAGATGGCTCAGTGGAATAAGTGCTTCCCTGGCAGGCGCAAGGGCCTGAGTTCAATCCCTGGTTCCGCAAAAAAAAAAAAAAAAAAAGAAAGAAAGAAAGAAAGAAACTGGGTGTGCTGGTACATGACTGTAATCCCAGCACTGGAGAGGATGAGACAGGAGGATCACTACAAGTCCAAGCTGTGTAGTGAGATCCTGTACCAAATAAATAAATAAATGATTCTTAAAAGAGTTTTAAAAAAGAAAGGAAAGAAAAAAAAAGGCCAGTGAGATAGCTTAGCAGATTAAGCACCTGCTTAGGCAAGCACAGGGACCAGGTTTAATCCCTGGCACCACGTGCCATGCTGGCCCCATACTTGGATACACTGAGCCAACCACCAAGATGAAGACCAGGCATGGTGGCACATGCCTGTAATCCCAGAGGCCGAGTCTGAGCTGCGTAGTGAGACCCTGTACCAAATACAGAAGGAAGAGGAGAGGGAGAGGAAAGGGGAGGGGAGGAGGACAGGAGACGGGAGGGGAGGGAAACGGAAGGGAGGAGAGGAGAGGAGAGGGGAGGGGAGGGGAGAGACTTGATAGAACACTGCCACACCACCCCTAGGCCAAGTCCATTTACCGCTCTGCCAACTCCCAATCTTCCTGAATTTGCTTTTGCCTGGCTTTGTGGTACTCCTCCCTCCAGCACTTGGAGCAGAAGCCCTGCCAAGCCGGATTGCCATAGTAACCACATCCTTTCTTGCATAGGAGCTCAGACTGATCCACATGAATTCCTCGGCGTTCAGATTTAAGGCTCATCTTCTTCCTGCTAATCAAGGGACAAACAAGAACACATGAAAATGAATTCTCTACCATTCTATTAACTAAAGTCACAGCAAGTATGAACAAAAGCATGCCTGAGTCCATGAGAGTCAAGCTGGAAAGAAGATGGACATAGTCAGGAGGATGGACATAGGAAAATGCTGGTAAGTGTCACAAAGTCCCAACATAGTTCTATCAGTAAAAATTTTGCAAAACATTTTTTTGCTTATTCTCTACTCAAAATATAAAGAATACCCAAGAAAGGACTAATACTGGATTAAAGACCTAAACATATAATCACAAACTATAGGTATCATAAAAGAAACCACTGTGGGGAAGCTCCCTGACCTTAGATCTGGCAATGACTTGTTAGATCTGACAGCAAAAGCAAATTGATAAATAGGACTTCAAACCTAAAAACTTCTACACAGCAAAGGAAGCATCAACAGAGTGAAAAGTGGAACGGGACAAAACACTTGCAAACCACATAGCTGAAAAAAGAGTTAATCTCCAGCATGTATAACTCTGCAACAATAAAAGGACAAAGGACTTGAGCAGACTAGTCTCCAAAGAAGACAGAGAAATGGCCAACAAGCTGGGCATGGTGGCACATGCCTGTAACCCAGTACTCAAGAAGCTGAAGCAGGAGGATTGCCATGAGCTGAAGGTGAGCATGGCTACACAGTGAGTTCAAGGCCAGCCTGAACTACATAGCAATACCCTGTCTCATAAAAACAAAAACAGACAAACAAAAAGAAAAGGACAGGCTGCCCAGATAGCTCAGCAGACTAAAGTGCCTACTGCAGCAGAACACAGTGACCGGGGTTCGATTGAGACTGGGCGTGGTGGTGCTCGCCTGTAATCCCAGAGCTTGAGAGGGTGAAAACAGGAGGATCACTACGAGTCTGATCTACATAGTGAGACCCTGTAGACCCTGCCCTAAATTCACAAAAAAAAGAAAGAAAGAAAGAAATGGTCAACAAATACATGAAAAGACATCAAAAGACTAAGCATCAGGGAACTGCAAATCAAAATCACAATGAGCTATCGCCTCACACCTATGTTAGGATGGCCACTTTCAAAAGAACCCTGGAAAAAACATGTTCTGATGAAAATGTGGAGAAATTAGAGCCCTTCTGCACTCTGAGGGAATGTAGTGTGCTAGCCACTATGGAAAACAGTGTGGGCATTCCTCAAAAAAAGTAAAAATAGGGCCCAAGTCCAGAGATACACATGTGCAGTCCCAGCTACTTGGCAGGTTGAGGCAGGAGGATCACCTGAGACCAGGAGTTCAAGTCTAGTATGGGCAAAATGGTGATCTCCTATCTTTCTTTGAAAAAAAAAATAAATAAGTAACAACTAAGAACAGAATTGACCATGCAACCTGACAATCCCACTTCTGGCTATGTATCTGAAAGGACTGAAAACAAGATCTCCAAATGATACTTATATACTCATGTTCATTGCAGCATTATTCACATTAGTCAGAGGTAGCAGGCTGCATGATGCATAAATAGTGCCATATTATATACATATATATATGCATGCCATATATAAACTGTGCCACATATATATAATAAAGATACATAATAAAGATATACATAATATATACATAAGTTAGAAAACAATCACATGTTATAAAACAGATGAGCCTTGAGGACATCATTCTAAATGAATGAGTAAAAGACAGCTACAATGTGACTCCCCTTACAGTGGCCAAACTCTTAATGACAGAACAGAGCAGAGGTGGCAGAGGCGGCAGAGGCAGCAGAGGCGGCAGAGGCAGCAGGGGCAGCAGGGGCAGCAGGGGCAGGGCTGGGAGAGCACAGAACAGCAGTGGCATGCTGCAGGCGCGGCACTGGGCTCTCTGGAGGAAGCAGTTTCCAAGCCCCACCACACACATTAACACTGAGAACAGCTGGGATGGAAGTCTCGTGTTCCATATTCTTTACAAGAAAAAGTACATTCCCACATTATTTAAAGCAAGAACGCATCCTTCTTAGCTGCTACTAAAGGGCTACCGTTTTGTCCCAAGGGACAGAGTACACTCAGAACACTCACGGGTATCCAACTGGCAGCCAGCAACAGCAATGGGGCCCCGGGCCGCAGTGACATGGCCTGGCGAGGTCACAGACTGGTACAGTACTGTGTGACTTTCGGTCATATTTCAGGACCCCTCTGTGCAGGGCTCCAGCGGCCTGGGCAGGCAAGCACACAAAGACAGTGCGCAGCGGGCATGCACCGCTGAGTCCACTTCCTGCAGACCACACAGTCACAGAACGGGCCCTGCGTGAGCAGACAGCACCACAAATGTGGCATGGCAGCAAAACACGGTCACCACCAGTCATGGTACTTCACCCCCCCCCCCCGCATGAGTGTCTGTGCATACATATATGCATGCATGTGTGTGCATGTGTGTGTGTCTGCCAAGACAGTCATTTGTTGTTATTAAACAGATGTGTAAGTTTTCTTACATAATTACTGAACTTGTAATTGTGTTATTTCAGAAAAATAACTGAATAAATTAAAATAGTTCAGCAGCTGTAGTACAAGAAGTACAAAAAAAAAGCATCAACCTTTTCAGGCTCAGGGTATCATAATTACATATATAAGATTAGGAAAAGAAATTGTTGCAATCATTCAACTCAGAAAAACTTCACCATGTCTCTTTACTAGACTTGTTTTCTTTTTGGTACTAGGGACTTTTTTCTTTGTAATACTAAGCATTTCCACTGAGTTACATCCTCAGTTTTTTATTTTATTTATTTATTTTTTAATTTTTGATACAGGGTAACTAAATTGCCCAGACTGGATTCAAATTTGTGGTCCCCATTCTCAGCTTTCCAGAGTGTACTGTTTGCTTTTAATTTTTTTTTTGCAGTTTTAAAAATTTTATTGATACTTTTTTTTTGTATTTTAGGGAAGGGTCTACAGGGTGTTCAGGGTCCCACTACCGGATTGGACTCGTAGTGATCCCGTGTTTACAGCCTCCTAAGAGCTGGGATTACAGGAGCATGCCAACCATGCCCAGTCTCAATCACCATCTCAGCATGCCCCAGGGGCGGGGTCGGCACCACAGGCCTGGGGATTTATCCCCTCCCCCCCCTGCGCCTGCTTGCAGGTGCTTTAATCTGCCGAGCTATTTGGCTGGCCCTTATTGATACATTTTAGATAAACATAATAACATTCAGCACAGAGATTTGTACCTGTACATAATGTATCTTGCTGCTTTTTCCATTGTCCTCCCTTACCCTCTTTTAACCCTTCTTCCCCATTTACAAGTTTTGTTTCTATTTTTGCTTGTGTACTTTTTTTTTGTCCCTTCTTTCCTTTTCCCCTCCTCCTTCTCTTTTTCCCCTCCTCATTTGAACATTTTCCTCTCATTTCCCAATATCTATTATACACTTTGGTACTTATTTACACTTTTTGATTCTCATACCAGAGAACCAATACAGTATTTAAAATGTCTGCTTGATTTCACTTAACAAAGTCCACCTGTTTAGCTAGAAATGTCTCAAGCTTTTAGTACATTTTTATAAGACTTCCCAAAAAAGATTATTGCTCACTTTACAATTACACTTATGTGTGTCATCACTTTTTTTTTTGTGGTACCAGGGATTGAACTCAGGACCCTGAACTATCTCCCCAGGGCCCAACTAGCTCCCCAGGCCGTCATCATTTTTAGTAGTATGTACAATTTTGTTTGTTTGAGATGGGGTCTCACAGTATAGTTCAGGCTGGCCTTAAACTCACTATGTAGCCCATGCTAGCCTCAAACTCATGGGAATCTTCCTGCCTCAACTTCCCAAATGCTGGGATCACAGGCATGCATCACTATACCTGGCTTTTTGAACAATTATTTTCAGTGTGTAGCACACAAAGTAAATAAAAGTGGACCAAAAATTTCTGACAAGCACCTTGAGAATTCACTGAGAACTGCAACTGCCTCTGTCAAACTAAACACTGTTGCATTAGTTTCACAAAAGAAGGTCAAATATTCCATTACTTGTACCTATGCTGTCCTATTTTATTGTTATAATACAAATTTTTAAAAGAAAGATTTGTTACTTGTGTACATCCACTATATTCCCTACTGTATACACACTCAGCGTACCTCAAGGAAGCCAGAAGGCTGGACATCCATACTCTCAACAGTCTCAGTACCTTACACTGTTTGCTCAAAAGAACTTTGCAGGGGCCAGGGAGATGGCTTAGTGGAATAAACGCTTCCCTGGCAAGCTCAAGGGCCTGAGTTCAATCCTTGGTTCCACCACAAAAAAAAGAACTTTGCTTCAATGCTATGAAAGTGAACACTTTCTCTTGGCTGAAATAATTTAACATAAACCAGAAAGTGAGTATAATTAAAATATCAGTATAATTTTAATTGTTAAAGTAGCATTTAAGGCCGTTAGTAATCTAGGGCAAAATAACAGAGCTTCCCATCTGCTGCCCCTCATCAAGTGCCCAATACTGCAGCAGGTATTTAATAAGGTTATTCTATTCTCACAAAAGCTAAGTCGGAGTTAGGAGAAAACTGAGGTTCAGAGAACTTTTCAAAAGTACATAAACCTTACTGCAACCAAACAACAGGAGGGGATTTGAAACCAGGTAAGATTCTAAAATTCAAACTACACTATGTGTCGCCTCCTGCCCAAACTCACATCTCTGCACACATTTCAATCACATCACCTTTTCTCAAAGTGCACACACTCACGCTTCAGCCTACTGCTTTTTCTATACTTTTTTCTGCTAGTTCTGCTTTGTTTTACTTTTGAGACAGGGTCTCACTCTGCAGTTCAGGCTGGTCTTGAATTCACTCTGTAGCCTGGGGCTGGCCTGAACTCAGTGATCCTCTTGCCTCAGCCTCCTGAGTGCTGGGATGACAGGCATTTCCTCCTGCTTCCTTTGGCATTCAGTGAACCTTAACATTATTGTTAGGATGATTCATTTTTATCAGTTCCTATTTTTTCCTGCTGCTACCATGTGACTGGTGTTAAGAGAGCAAGAACCATAACCCCTGATGTGTGGGAAGAAGTCCTTTTCTTCCGCTGATAGGTAGGAAGAGACAAAACTGCCTTCAACAGAGGAAAAAATACTTGCAGAAAGCTCGCATCAGGGACCTACAAAATAGAAAATAGACAAAAGCATCTAGAAGGTGAGGTGGGACACACCTCCTAGCTACCAGAGAGACTGAGGCAGGAAATATGCTAACTTCACTGCCTCAAAAATAAAATTAAAAGGGCTGAGAAGGTAGCTCGGTGTAGAGCACTTGCCTAGCATGAGTGAGCCCCCGGGTTCAAACCTCAGAGCCACCCCAAAATCATCTGCTCATCAAAACTAAAGACTTAGTATCACCACTTCAAAGCTGAATAAACAAAAGGGATTCTTTTTTTTTATGTAGTTAGTACATTCTACAGGGTCTCACTATGTAGATTGGACTCAAAGTGATCCTCCTGTTTCAGCCTCTCAAATGCTGGGATTATAGGCATGCCCCACCACACCCAGTCTCAATCCTCATCTCAGCACGCCCCAGGGGATGAGGCCGCATGCACGCCAAGGATCAAACCTGGTCCCTGAGTCTGCCTAAACAGGCACTTTAATCTGCTGAGCTGTGTGGCCAGCCTAGGGATCTTGATTTTGAGCTGAAACCTGACTATCTTAACAGGTACCAATGTTCATTCTCCACTGTATCACATTTAAAGTTACATATGCGTAACATCACACTTTTTCATCCACGCTGACACACTGTTCTTTCTACAAACAGCCAAACAAGCAAAAGAAAAGAGGCACTTGATGGCACGCATTCAATTCAAACGTGACAAAAAGAACTGAACGCCATGAGGATTATAACATTTGCTCAGCACAAACATTTACTAAGTGTCACTGCATGTCAGGACTGAGCTAGATGCCACTGGTAAGGCACCTAGCAGAACAGGGCCTGGGCCTCAGGGAGCCACAGGGCCTTATGTGAGGGAGTCAGGTCACTGGGCCACTGAATGGGATATGGACACCCGGGCCCCTGCTCTTCCTGTTTCCCTTCCAGCCACCATGAATGAAGAGGATGCTTTCACTGACCCAACCATGGTGCTCTGCCTCATCACAGTCCAGCTGACCATAGCCTGAAACCTCTGAAACTGCTTTTTAGAGCCTGACTGAATTATCTCACCATTACTTTAGTCCCTTCTTCCTTTCCAACAGGAATGGGCACTAAGGAATACTCACTGTTTTCCTATACCAGTTCAGTCCATTTAAAAAATTTTGGACAACAAATACCACAGCACAGGTCTATGGGACTAAAATGGACACATTTGGGGGAGCTTGCCCCACCCATGTGTTAGCCATGTCTTTTTATTAGGAAACTGTCCCTCTAAACCACAGATAGGCTGCCAGCAGCTATATCTGATACAGTAGCCACTTGCTACTTCTTCACATACAAGATACTGCAGCTGAGTCTCTTCAAAGCAGTTTCTTGTTTTTTGTTTTTTTTCCAAGGAGTTTTAGAAACGGAATGAGGCCGGAGAGTTCTGACTGCTGGAAGAGTAGTGTGGTGCGACCATGTTCCGTCAAGTGGTCCAAGTATCAAAGATGCATACCAAGATGCAGGGAAAAGCGGCAGGAGAAAAGTACTTTGTGGGACCTGAGCTGCTGCAATCTCCTAGTGCTAATTCCTGGTTACCAAGGCTTAGCTGCATACTACCCTCAGATTCTGAGACACATCTCTAGAGCCCCTGCCGTTTCCTTCCTCTTTTTTTTTTTTTTTTTTTTTTTTTTTTTTTTTTTTGTACTGGGGATTAAACCCAGGGCCTTCACACAGAACTACACTCCCAGCCCTTTTCTGTATTTTTATTTTGAGACAGACTGGGCTCAAACTTGTGATCCTGCTGCCTCAGCCTCCCAGAGTACTGGGGTTATGGAATAGCCTGGCATCTTGACCGTGGTGGTTACAGAATCTATATTTGTGATAAATTTGTACAAAAATATACACATATATCCCACAGATGCCAGTTTCTTGGTTTCAATACTGCATTACAGTGAACAAGACGTAATCATAAGGGGAAACTACAGGAAGAGAACACAGGACCTCTCTGCATTATCATTGCAACTTACAGTGAATCTGCAATTGCCCCAAACTTTAAAGTTTTTAAACAAGAAGCACTGATCATTGGGTCAATGCACACATCACTCGGGTCATCCTGTTGCTTCTAACCTTGAAGAACAGTGAGCAAGGGCACCATGGAAACTGCATGCCACTGTCTGCATGGCTGGCGGAGTTGCTGATGGCTCTGTTAGGGCCGGGAAAACCAAGTCAACTCAGCACTGCCATACCAGACCTCCAAGCTGGACACACAGCACATGGTCTGCATTTAGGAAGAAGCACAGGGTCACATCTGGGCTGTTACTCTAAGATCAAGTGTGGAAACAGCAGATCAAGCGCTGGAGACTCAAGTCTTCTTTCCTGCCCAGACCCACCTGCCCCTAGTGGGCGAGCAACAATCCCAAGGAAACATGCTGCCACCACGGCTTGCCAGGAGGAGTGAGAAGGGTGCCCTGTTCTTGTGTGCACACAACACCCCATCAGCCAGGCTGTCACAGAGAAACAAGTCAGCTGATGGGTCTAGGTGGCTTCCCACTGTCCTTGTCAGGAGAGGGCTGCTTCCTGACCCCACAGGCTGGCCCCCTGAACAGCTTATCTGGGCTTCGTCAGACACTCGCAAGCAACCCTCACATGCTAAGCCATTCTTCTCCTGGAGTAAGAAATCAAATTATACCTACAAGTGTTTCTTAAATTTGTTTTCTGGTAATAGAAGTAAAAGATGCTCACTAAGATATACAGACAAGTAGAAATGGAGTTACTGTTAATATATCGGCACGCACATACACACACACACACACACACACATATGCATACTCTAGTATTTACTCACTCAACGTATTTACATACTTTTTTACTACTTACTATATGACAGGTACCTGAGACACAAAAAACTAGACAGTTTCAGTCCTGAGAAGTTTATTGTCTAATATGAGAGATATGATTATGTATACAGAAGTTCTAAAAGAAACACTATTAATATGGAAGTTAATTAATTTATTTATTATTTCTTTGGTACAGAGTTTTGCTACACAGCTCAGACCAGTAGTGATCCTCTTGTCTTGACCTCTCCAGAGCTGGGATTACAGTCATGCGCAACAAGCCTGATTTCACCCACCAGCCACACCCAGGGGTCTGGGACCAGCACAGCATGTGGTACTGGGAATCAAACCAGAGTCCTTGCACTTGCCAGTTAGGCTCTTAGATGACTGAGCTTTCTCCCCAGGCTGAAAGAGTTAATTTAAAAATGCTAAATGTCATGAATTCATGTTTATTAGAAGCATGCTAGTGATTTGCACATAAATCTATGGAATTCTTATTTATAGTAGCTGAATAAGTAGTTAGAAAATATAGAAACAGTTCTCATTCACAATAGTATCCGTATGTATTTGCTTTTTTACTTTTTATGTATTTGGTACAGGGTCTCACTACACAGCTCAGACTCATAATGACCCTCCTGTTTTCAGCCTCCCCAGTGCTGGATTATAGGCATGAGCCACCACACCCAGTCTCCATGGCCAGCTCAGCATGCCCAGCTCAGCATGCCCAGGGGCAGGGCCAGCATGGCATGTGGTACCAGGGATCAAACCCCAGTCCCTGCACTTGCCTAAGCAGGTGCTTAGTCCAAGCTGAACTATCTCACCAGCCCTCAATAGTATCCATATGTAAAAACACTTTGGAAATATTTTATTGAGAAAATTATGTAATCTACACAATTTTTTTTCTACACAATTACTGACATATGTAAAGAAGACTTGGATAAATAGTAAGGCATAACTGGCACAGAATGAAAAAAATTAAATATTATTTTAGAAAGGCAAGCATTCCAAAGTTTCTAAGTTTACTACAATGACAATAAAAATCCTGTAAGATTTTCTGGAACTCAGTAGTAATTTTTTGGATTTCATCAGTAATAACAAAAAGGCTAGGATGTTTTTTCATTTCTTAAACTAATTTTCTTATTTTTTATTTTTGTAAGCAAATTAAATACTGTGAACTTGGTGACAAATCTGGACAAATCATTAAAAGACAGACTACCCCCAAATGAATCCTAATACAATATATTGTGAGAAATAGGTTCATACTGAAAAAAGGAAGAGAGGTAGAGAAGAAGGGAAAAAGGGAAGGAGGATGAGAGAGAGGGAGGGAGAGGAGGAGGGAGGGAGGGAGAGAAGGAGGGCAAAAAGGAAGAAGGGAAGAAGGGAGGGAGGGAAACTTCAATAAGCAGCTTTAGAATAACTACCACAGTCAGCAATCTGACAGCTCTAAGATTAATTTTACAGATATCTTAAAGAGTTAAAACTTAAAGACAAACACAAAAATAGAAATAACTAAAATTACACATTTATGAAACTTCTAAAGAAGTTAAAAATCCTCTAAGCTTACAGGCTGCAGGAAAATCAAGAAGGAAATGAGATTTGAATATATAAATTGAAACCTCTATCTAGTTTTAGAAAGGTCTTATCTATAACCAAAATAGAAAGGCAAATAAGAAAATGGAAAAAACATATTTAAACGGAACAATGAGGTACTGCATTAAATTTTTAAATAATGTTAAAAAAATAATTTGAGGGCCGGGCATGGTGGTGTACACCGGCTGGTGGCACACACCAGTGCTCGGGAGGCTGAGGCAGGAAGATCATTGTTAATTTGAGGCCAGCCTTAGCTATAAGCTCAAGCAGGAGGATCACAAGTTTGATCCCAGCCTAAGCAACTTTTAGTGAGATGCTGTCTCAAAAAGTAAAAAGGACTGGAGATGAAACCGAGTGTGAAGGTCCTGGATCCAGTCCCCAGTGTTACAAAAAACAAAATAAAAACTCTTTGACAGCTAGGCAGCACAAGGGTATGAACAGACTAGTCACATATTCTGAATAGTTTGCTAGAAATAGAAATGCCATACCAAAAAGTATGTACATTTAAAATTTTGATAGGTCAGGCATGGTGGCACATACAGGTAATCCTAGCATTCAAGAGGCTGAGGCTGGAGGGTCTCAGGTTTGAGGCCAGTGTAGGCTACAGCAAGTCTGA